GGCTCCCCCACTGGGCGTGTCAACTCACAACTCTGAGCTCAAGACCTGAGATCAAGAGTCAGACGCCTTAACAGACTGGTGAGCCACCCAGGCGCCTCTGGCCTCCACTTTTTTTTTTTTAATTTTTTTTTTAACGTTTACTTATTTTTGAGACAGAGAGAGACAGAGCATGAACGGGGGAGGGTCAGAGAGAGAGGGAGACACAGAATCCGAAACAGGCTCCAGGCTCTGAGCGGTCAGCACAGAGCCCGACGCGGGGCTCGAACTCACGGACCGTGAGATCATGACCTGAGCCGAAGTCGGACGCTTAACCGACTGAGCCACCCAGGCGCCCCTGGCCTCCACTTTTTAAAAAGCTTTATTGAGGGGCACCTGGGTGGCTCTGTTGGTTTAGCGACTACTGACTGGATTTCAGCTCAGGTCATGATCTCCCAGTTGCTGGGACTGAACCCTGAGCTGGGCTCTGCTCTGACAGCATGGAGCCTGCTTGAGCTCTCTCTCTCCTCTCCTCTTGCCCCTCTCCTGCTCACTCTCCCTCTCTCTCTCTCTCTAAATAAATAAACTTTTTAAATTAAACAGCTTTAGGGGCGCCTGGGTGGCTCAGTCTGTTAAGCTTCCAACTTCAGCTCAGGTCACAATCTCACGGTCTGTGAGTTCGAGCCCCGCGTCGGGCTCTGGGCTGATGGCTCAGAGCCTGAAGCCTGCTTCCGATTCTGTGTCTCCCTCTTTCTCTCTGCCCCTCCCCTGTTCATGCTCTGTCTCTGTCTCAAAAATAAATAAACGTTAAAAAAAATTTTTAATTAAAAAAATAAACAGCTTTATTGAGATATAATGTATACACCATGCAACTCAGCTATTTAAAGGGTACAATTCAATGGTTTTAGTAAATTCAAAGAGCTGTGGGATCATTATTACAATCAATTTAAAAACCTGCCTTGGGGCGCCTGGGTGGCTCAGTCGGTTAAGCATCCGACTTCTTCGGCTCAGGTCATGATCTCGCGGTCTGTGAGTTCGAGCCCTGCGTCGGGCTCTGTGCTGACAGCTCAGAGCCTGGAGCCTGTTTCAGATTCTGTGTCTCCCTCTCTCTCTGACCCTCCCCCGTTCATGCTGTCTCTCCCTGTCTCAAAAAAAAATAAATAAACGTTAAAAAAAAATAAAAAAAAAAAACCTGTCTTCACGCCCAAAAGAAACCCCATACCCACTACTAGTCACTCCCTATTTCTTCCTAACCCCCTTCAGCCCTAGGCAACCCCTAATATACTTTCTGTCTCTACAGGTTTTCCTCTTCCGAACATTTTATACAAATTTAATCCTTCAGTATATGGCATTTTGTGACTGGCTCCTTTCACTTGGCATAATGTAGCATGTATCAGTATTTCATTCCTTGTTGTTGTTGTTTATTTATTTATTTTGAGAGACAGAGAGAGCGCAAAAGCAAGCATGAGAGGGGGCGGGACAGAGAGAGAGAATCCCAAGCAGGCTCTGCTCTGTCAGCGCTCAGCCTGACCTGTGACTCCATCTGATGAACCGTGAGATCATGACCTCAGCCGAAATCAAGAGTCAGACACTCAACCAACTGAGCCACCCAGGAGCCCCGGTACTTTGTTCCTTTAATGGCCAAACAATCTTCCACTGCACAGGTACCCTGCTTTTAATTGACCCACCTGCCGGTTGATGGGCATTTAGATTGTTTCCACAAATATCTGCATGGATGTATGTTTTCAGTTCTCTGGAATATATATGCATAGGAGTGGGATTGGTGGGTCATACGGTAACTCTATGTTGCCGTCGAGAAACTCTCTTTGTCCTCTATTTTGAGGACACGCCGAATTGTTTTCCAAAGCAGCTGCCCCGTTTTTACATTCCCACCAGCAGTGTATGAGGGTTCCAATGCCTCTACAGCTTTTCCAACACTTACTGCCTGTCTTTTCCAGGACAGCCACCCTAGCAGGTGTTAAGTGGTATCTCACTGTAGTTTTGATTTTCATCTGACTGATAATGACCTTGCAGATCTTTCCCTATCATTCACTGTTTTTGTATCCGCTATGTGGCTAGATGCACTCTTAGCCACTTTGCCGTAGCGGATCCAGATTTTTCCAATTAAAGTGTTAATGACATGACGTCCTTCTCAGAGTCCACGCTTTCCCTTTGCCACACCCTGCATTTCATGTTTTCGTACTATTATCACATTGATACAGATGTATCCTCAAATAATATATAGCACCGGTTTTGCATGTTTTCAAGCCTGGTATAAATGACACTGTGCTGTAATCCTTCTGTACTTGTGTTTTCTTGTTTGTTTGTTTATTTGTTTGTTTGCTTGCTTGTTTTTCTGGGATTTGTTTTTACTCATTGTATTAGTCCTAGGGGTGCTGTAACAAAGGACCACAAATGGAGTGGCTTAAAGCACTTAAAGCAACAGAAATTTAGGGCACCTGGGTGGTGGCTCAGTCTGTTAAGCATCCAGCGTCAGGGCGGGATCTCACGGTTTGCGGGTTCGAGTCCCGTGTCGGGCTCTGTGCTGACACCTCAGAACCTGGAGCCTGCTTCGGATTCTGTGTCTCCCTCTCTCTCTGCCCCACCCCTGCTCATGCTGTGTCTCTCAAAAATAAGTAAACGTAAAATTAAAAATAAACCAGAAATTTATTTTCTCCCAATTCTGGAAAGTAGAAACTCCAAACCAAGATGTTGGCAGGGCTATACTCTCTTTGAAAGCTCTAGAGGAAGATCTTTCCTTGCCTCTTCCTACCTTCAGGTGTTTGCCAACAATTCCTCACATTCCTTGGCTCCAATCTCTGCCTCTGACATCATGCGGTTTTCTTCCGTGTAGGTACCTGTGTCTGTGTCCAAATTTCCAATCACGTTGGATTTACGGCCCACCCTAATCGTGTGACCTCATCTTAACTTGATGACATCCACAAACACTCCATTTCTAAATAAGGTCACATTCCATTTCTAAATAAGGTTCGAAGGGACTTGAATTTGGGGGTGGGGCGCATTCTTCAACCCAGTACTCTCATCAGTCTGTTTTTATGACTCACACTATTGACATGTGCATTCAGTTCATCCATTTGAACTTCTGTGTGGGAGGCCTTTGTGAGAGTACATCACAATTTATTCATCCCTCCTGGTGATGGACTTCCCTTGTTTCCAGGTTTCTCCATTTGCGACAAGGCTGCAATTAACATCCCTGAACATGTCTTTTGGACTTTCTCAGGGCAGGATTTTTCAAACTGCCCAACAAGATCCATTAGTGGGTTGTGAAACCAATTTAGTGGGTTTTAGACACAATTTTCCCCTTAATGAAATGGAATTAAACAGAACAGAAGCTATTGTAACGCATGCACATAGTCAGGGTAAGGATTACTGTGTGAAACTGGGTTGTTGTTTTTTTTTTCCTTTGGCAGGTGTATGTAATGTCCCGATATAAGCAAATATGTTTAGGAGCCCCAGCCCTAGCAGGTGTAGACGGCAATGGACGTGCCCTGTCCAAGGTCTGATGGGTGTTACACAAATGCTCCCTCCAACTAACTAGTGCAACTAATTTGTCGACTTACACTTCCGTCAGCTCCTCGACACTTAGCATCATCAAAAATCTGAATTCTTGCCAGGCCAGAGGCTTCTCATCCTATTGCTGGAAGAGGAAACAGGCGCAGAGGGCCGAAACGCAAGGAGCTGGAAGGCAGACCCCACCATCTTTGCTGTAAAGACCGGGTCTCTGCCAGGGCGGAGAGATACCACCATCGAGGATCCCGTTAAGCGAAGAATTCTCGGGTTCTAGGAGGGGATGCGGGCTGAGTAGGAAAGGGTGTTGGAAGGAGAGGGTCCGTTCTCATCCTAAACCCCCTTTCCCTTCCCCCACCTCAAAGGGATGCCTGGGGCTCAGGGATGGCCCGGCCCTGGGCGCCCCCGGAGTCAGAGGAGAGCTGATGCTGCAGGTTGGGGACAAAACCACACTCCTCCAGCCACGAGCCTGCCAGACGCACCTGGATCCCTGCACCCTTGAACTCCACCCTCCCACCTGATCCCCTGGAGGACCCAGGGGCCTACCTCCTCTGGAAGTCTGGGTATCTCAACTCTAGCCTGATTTCCCGCTGGCCCCTCACGTGGGGCCGCAGGAATGATGTTGCCCAATTCCTGTTCCCTCAGGCACCCAGCTCCTGCTCCCAGGGGACCAAGGGACCTGGTAATGTATGCTTTCCCTGTCGGGGACAAAGGCATCGAACTATCTCCCTGACCTTTCCTCCCAGAAAGTTCAGTGCTCTTAATCCTATGCCACAGCCAAAGATCCAAACCTGGGTCCAAGAGACTCAGGAGGGCTCCCTCCCGGACTCACCTCCCCGCAGAGTTTGGATAACTAAGCCCCCAGCCCTACCCCCACCCCCACAAAATCTCCGGTCTCTCCGAACCCTTCCTCCAATGCAACCTGGAGACTTCAGCCTCCAACCGGTCCCAGAAGCGGCCCAGGCATCGTACCTACACTTCCTGCCCATCGAAGAGTCTCTTCTCCTTTCCGCCCCCCCGAAGCCACCCCATCCAGGTCTCTTTAGGGGAACAGACTTTTTTTTTTTTTTCTAATGTTTATCTATTTTTGAGAGAGAGAGAGTGTGCGTGTGTGAGAGAGAGAGAGAGAGCAGGGGAGGAGCAGAGAGACAGGCAGACACAGAATCCGACGCAGGCTCCAGGCTCCGAGCTGCCAGCACAGGGCCCGACTCGGGGCTCGAACCCACGAGCTGTGAGATCATGACCCCAGCGGAAGTCGGAGGCCCAACCGACCAAGCCACCCAGGCGCCCCGGGAGGAGCAGACTTGGAACCCCATCTCTAGGAACCCAGGGACCAGATCCCCCAGGCTCCGCCCCCTTGGGAGACGCCGGTAACTGCGGTCCACTCCCCGGTTCTCCAGGGCCCGCCCCCTCACCTTTGGCGCCCGGCCCCGCCCCCACCCTGGGCTGGGCCCGCCCCCTCACCTTTGGCGCCCGGCCCCGCCCCCACCCTGGGCTGGGCCCGGCCGCACCTCTCCCAGCCGCACGCGTACCTCCCAGGACGCCCAGGGACCCATGGCCGCGGTGGCAGCCCCCTGGGGGCGGCAGCGGGAAGAGGCCCGCGCGCTCGGCCGGGCGGTGAGGCTGCTGGAACGCCTGGAAGAGCACTTCGGGGACCCCCGGCTTGCCTCCAGTCCCCCCTCGATGCGGGACCTGCTGCCCCGCACCGCGCAGCTGCTGCGCGAGGTGGCCCAGGCCCGGCGGGCGGCCGACGGAGGCGGCCCCGAGGGTCCCGGCGGTGCGCGGGACTTCCTCGTCGTCTACCTTAACAACCTGGAGGCCAAGAGCAGGCAGGTGGCGGCACTGCTGGCACCCCAGGGTCGGAGGAGTGCCAATGACGAGCTCTTCCGGGAGGGCTCCGGACTCAGGTGAGCCGCGGCTCCTGCCCCAGGAAAAAGGTGGGGTCGCGAGTCCGGGCCCCCAGCGCCGGCCTCCTTCAGACCCAGGGGTCCAGACGCCCAGCTCCTCCTCCCTTAGACCCAGGATTCCTGCCCCAGCCCCTCCTCCCTCAGACCCAGGAATCTAGCCCGCAGCCCCCTCCTCCCTCAGACCCAGAGGTCCAGAGCCCCCAGTCCCTTCTCCCTCAGACCCAGAAGTCCAGGTCAGAACCCCCTTCCCTGGGGGAACCTGGAAAACTGAACCAGCCGGGTTTTTTCTTTCTTTGGGCACCTATGCCTTTAACCCCACCCCCCCATGTCCCCTCTTTCTTGGCCACCCAGCAGCCCTCTTCAAATTGCCCGACTCTCCCAGAGGCCTAGACACACATCCTGAGAATGCGGGGACCCCAGGGAGCTTCTTGCGGGGGGGGGGGGTGGACTGACATCCCCGTCACCGCCCTTGCCTAGGGGGACACGCAGCCCCGCCTCCTGCCCCCCCCACCCCCGTCTTGGTTCCTGAGAACAGCTAGCTCAGGACCTAGGGCTTGTCTGTAGCCCCCTCCTCTAAACTCTGGGGAAGGGGCTCCTGAGTGTCAGGAGTAGCCGAGGCTTGGGGTCTAGAGCCCAGAACAAAACAAGGTGTGGACCAGGAAGCTCTCAACCATGTCCGGTAAAAACTTTGTAATGTCTCCTTAGATTCATCCTGAAATGAAATGTGTAGGCCACGCAACTTACCTACCCATCATTGTTTAAAGGTCACTATAATACCCAAACTGTTATAAGGAAGTGATAACAAGAATGCCCTTCATAACAACAATATCTGTGTTTCAAATGAAAATGCCAAGGCACAGTTACAATTATTCTCGCATGCAGAATTGGCTCTTAAGACATTCACGCCTGGGGGGCGCCTGGGGGGCTCAGTCGGTTAAACAGCCAACTTCAGCCCAGGTCATGATCTCATGGTTCTTGAGTTCAAGCCCCGCATCGCTGTGCTGACAGCCGAGAGCCCGCTTCGGATCCTCTGTCCCCCGCTCTCTCTGCCCCCCCCCCAACTGCTCATACTCTCCCTTTCTCAAAATTAAATATACATTTAAAATAATACAAACTCTGTATGGAAACCAATTTGACAATAAATTTCATATATTTAAAAAATAAATAAAATAATAAAATAATACAAACTAATAATAATTAACACGTACTGAGTGCCAACTGTATGCCAGGTGTCGCTGGGCATTTTATGTGCTCATGAGATGAGGAAGAATCCTCTTAGCTTCCCCTCTAAGACAGGGGCTGTACTTATCCCGCACTCATGCCCATTTCACAGTTGAGGAAACTGAGACTTAAGGGGGGAAAAAAGGAACCTCCCCAAAATGACACAGCTTAGTGTCAGAGCTCCCCTTTGCTGCTCCCCACGTCCTGACCAGTACCCCGGGGAGGCAGCTGGCAGAAGGAAACACGCCCCCCCCCCCCCCCCCCCCCGGTGCTGCTAAAAACAAGAAGGCCCCCGAGCACGACCTGCTCCAAGACCACGGTCAACGCCCTCAGCGCTGGTGGGCTACAACAGATGTCAGGAATCCCGCAGAGCTGGCTCAAGGCCCGATGAGGCCAGGCTTCTCCTGCAGCCCCGGTGGGGCTACAGGTGGAGGCTGGGGGATGGCTGGGCTGGTGGGCAGCGCCTCCCTTTCCTTCCCAGAGGAGGAAACCGAGGTTCGCAGAGGGGAGGCGTCAGGACTGTGATAGGCTGTCTCGGGATGGACTCCACCCTGCCAGAGCCTGGGGGCCTGGTCCCTGTGGGCAGAGTCCCCCACAGCAGGCACAGGTGCCAGCGCGAGCCCCCAGGTCCAGCCCAGGCCCTCAGAGCCCATCCTTGCAGGCGACAGCTGGCCAAGCTGGCCCTCATCTTCCGCTACATGCATGCGGAACTGAGCGCACTCTTCCCCGGCGGAAAGTACTGTGGACACACGTACCAGCTCGCCAAGGCCCCAGCCCACAGCTTCTGGAGGGGGCACTGCGGCGCCCGGTGAGTGAGCACCTGTCCCCGGGGCCCCGAAGTTCCTGGAGCCTCATCCTGTCCTTGCCAGGGGACCAAGGAGTCCAGGCAGCCCCGCCCCCCCAGCCCCTCCTCCCTCAGACCCAGGTATCCAGCCCCCAGCCCCTCCTCCCTCAGACCCAGGAGTCCTGCCCCCAGCCCCTCCTCCCTAGAGGCCCTCCCATGCTAGGTTCCTGGAGGCCTCAGCTGTGTGCTCCCCCCCCCCCCCTCCAGTTGTGTCCTGTCCTGGGCTGAGTTTGAGTCCATCTTGTGCACCTGCCACCCGGTGGAATCAGGCTCCACGGGCCTGGCCTTGCGCTCCACCATCAACCTCACTGGCAGCGGCCACGTGTCCATCTTCGAGTTTGACATCTTTACCAGGCTCTTCCAGGTCAGGGAAGGCCAGGGCTGGGGGAAGGAGAGGTGGGGAACATGGGTCTGAGGGAAGAGGGGGCTGGGATCTCAGATTCCCGGGTCCCGGGGAAGGGAGCGTCTGGGCTCTTCTGTGTACGGGATTCCTGAGGCCCACGACGGGTGTAAGCAACGTGGCTGGGTTCCGAGACCCCGGGAGGCACTGGGCGTGCCTTGCTCGGCCCCTCCGTGACCCCAGCGCTGCCCCGCTCCAGCCTTGGCCAACACTCCTCAAGAACTGGCAGCTCCTGGCGGTCAACCACCCGGGCTACGTGGCCTTCCTCACATACGATGAGGTTCAAGCGCGTCTGCAGGCCTGCAGAGACAAGCCAGGCAGGTAAAAGGGCCAGGAAGCTAGGTTATAAAGGACAAGGACTTGGACACCCGGATCCCCAGCAGAACGAGGGGATGGGAATTCCCAGGTGGGGCAGCGGTGATCGCACCCTCACCCCCTTACCAACCTCTCCCGCCAGCTACATCTTCCGGCCCAGCTGCACTCACCTGGGACAATGGGCCATTGGATTCGTGAACTCAGACGGCAGCATCCTGCAGACCATTTCTCTCAACAAGCCCCTGTTCCAGACACTCCTGGACGGACAAAGGGAAGGCTTGTGAGTCGCCGTCCTGGCAGGTGGAGGGTGTCGGCAGAATGCACTTCGAAAGGCGTTGCCCGTTGCACGCGGCCCCAGATCGCTCTGAGGGCGCGCGGTTCACACGGCCCACATTATAAATTTGCAATACCATGGTGTTCCGGTAGGTGGCAGACGAGGGTCCAGAGGAAGGGGCGCCTTTTCCAGTTCAGAGAAAGCTGCTACGTGGGCTCCGGGCAGCTCTGAGAAGTGTGTGGGGAATTGACTTCACTGGCCTATTCCTTGGGATTCTGCTGAACAGCTTTCGCTTCTAGACATCCATATCCCATTCTAGAATCTAGACGGTTAAAGCAGAAAGAACACTGGGCAAGCAGCTAGACCGGGTGTTCTCAACCTGTAACCTTGGCTGCCCCACAGCCCCTCGATCAGAAGCTGCCTTGGGTAGGAGAGGAGGAGAAAAAAGGCAGGTGAGGTTCCCCAGTCTCATCCTGAGCCTTTGGCCAGAGCTATCTTATTAGTCCTGTTGATATGATATGATCTGAGATAGATATGCAGTCCGTTCTCATTGTTTATGGTAGTCTGTTCTATAAAGTCGCTGTAAACACTAGATTATTGAATACTGAGCCGTTGCTCGTAGGGGAAATACCGGCTCGGTTTCCTGCAAGATTCTGGTCACATTTCTTTTTTTAATTTTAAGTAGGCTCCACACTCAATGTGGGGCTTGAACTCACGACCCAGAGATCTTCACATGCTGTACCTGCCGAGCCAGCAGGGCGCCCCATCTGGTCACATTTTTGTCAACCAATTGCTACCTGATTGGTAACCAATAGTAACCTTTTTGTGTGTCTCTGTCTGAAGACACCTTTTAAATTTTTTTTTAACGTTTATTTATTTTTGAGACAAAGAGAGACAGAGCATGAATGGGGGAGTGGCAGAGAGAGAGGGGGACACAGAATCGGAAGCAGGCTCCAGGCTCTTGAGCCATCAGCCCAGAGCCCGACGCGGGGCTTGAACTCACGGACCGCGAGATCGTGACCTGGCTGAAGTCGGACGCTTAACCGACTGAGCCACCCAGGCACCCCTGAAGACACCTTTTTATTTTATTTATTTTTTTTTTTAATTTTTTTTTCAACGTTTATTTATTTTTGGGACAGAGAGAGACAGAGCATGAACGGGGGAGGGGCAGAGAGAGAGGGGGACACAGAATCGGAAGCAGGCTCCAGGCTCTGAGCCATCAGCCCAGAGCCTGACACGGGGCTCGAACTCACGGACCGCAAGATCGTGACCTGAGCCGAAGTCGGACGCTTAACCGGCTGAGCCACCCAGGCACCCCTGAAGACACCTTTTTAAATATACAGTTGAGGGGCGCCTGGGTGGCTCAGCCGGTTAAGCGTCCGACTTCGGCTCGGGTCATGATCTCACAGTTCATGAGTTTCAGCCCCGTGTCGGGCTCTGTGCTCACAGCTCCGTGCCCCGAGCCTGCTTCGGATTCTGTGTCTCCTTCTCTCTCTCCCCCTCCCCTGCTCGCCCCCCCCTTTCTCTCTCTCAAAAATAAATGAACATTAAAAAACATGTTTTAATATATATATAACTGATACTTTCACAGTGAGCTCACGTCTCAACGAAGCTCATCTGACACCCATATTTTCTCTATACGGCACATCCCAGGCTTGTACTTAGGCACCCACGACCCTGGGATCATGACCTGAGCTGAAATCAAGAGTCGGATGCTTAACCAACTGAGCCACCCAGGCGCCCCAAAGATGTCTTCTGCTTGAGCCCAAACACTCAAGGACAGGGACGGGGGGGGGGGGGGGGGGCCCGCTACTCTGGGAGGTCAAAGCCTAGGATGTAATCAGTTTCCTGGTTCTTGTTGATCTGAGTTTGTGTTTCCAGAGCTTCAGCCACTGAGGTCTCGTGTGCCCTTTTTGGGGAGTCTGAGGGGACACAGCCCTGCCCTGGGGCCTGAGGAGTCACAGCTTGCCCTGGAAAGTCCCAATTTGAGGAGAGGGGAGGGAAAAGATCCCCAGGCCAACGATGGGTTTGGGAGCGATGCTCATCCGGGGGGCTCTGGGCCCATGTCTGGGGTGAGGAGTATCAGACGGCCCTCGGTACCCCCGTCTTTCTTTCGCCCAGCTTCCTCTACCCAGATGGAAAGAACCACAACCCAGACCTGACTGAACTCTGCCAGATGGAGCCCCATCAGCGCATCCATGTGTCGGAGGTGAGGCCCAGGCCTGCCACCGGCCCTGTCCCTGTCCCTGTGTACTGTGCCCCCCGAGGGCCTTAACTCAGGAGTTCTCTCCCTAGAGACTCAGGCCTAGAATCCCAGAGGCCGTGGGTTTCTGTGCTGGTGCGGTGGCCACATGACCTGGGGGTAAATCACCTGACCTCTCTGGGCCTCTGTTCCTTCTCCGGAAAACACAGCTCGTCCTGCCCCCTCCCCGGGGGGTTTTGTGGGGATTAAACCAGGAAATGATACTGCTGAGGTTGTCAGAACGGCTAATGCACTTGACCCTTCACCGACGACAGCCCCTGTATCAGCGTAGTCTTCACAGCCACCCCACGGGCGAGGGAGAAACGACAAAGGAAATCTTTTGGTATAAGTATATCCCACAGAACCCTTGGGATATACTTAAACCCCAAAATAGGTTCATTGTTTACCTAAAAATCAAACATACCAGGGCATCCTGTATTTTTAGCTGCTCAGTCTGGCAACCCTGCATAGAGACCACCCCAGGGAACAAGTCTCATAGGCAGGTACAGGTAGGAGGCCGCCGGATACACGGCCTTGGACTTAGGAGGGTTCGGGGCTGGCACAGACGTTCGGGACTTTCGTCCCGTGGCCTGACTTGGATCCCCATGGCTAACACCACCCCTCTCCATCCTCCCCCATCTTCTGGCCTCCTAGGAGCAGCTGAAGCTGTACTGGGCCATGGACTCCACGTTTGAGCTCTGCAAGATCTGTACCGAGAGGGACAAGGATGTGAAAATCAAGCCATGTGGACACCTGCTCTGTGGCAGCTGCCTGGCTACCTGGCAGGTGGGTCCGACCGCCCTGCCTTCCCGCCCAGTCTCCCCCCACCCCTCACCCCCAGCCTCCACCTTCATGCTAGAGGTCCCTAGCATGAGGGATCACGCCTCATGGATCAGATGGAGAAACTGAGGCCCGGGGAGAGGCAGAGATTGGCTCAGGGTCACTTGGGAGCAATGAACAGGAGCCCACCTGTCCGCCTCTGTGTCTCTGTCTCCGTCTTGCCCTACATCTCTCACCTCTGCTTTTCGTTCTCCGGCTTCCTTATTAGCGGAAAGGGCTCCTTGTTCCCTGGCTGGGTGACCTGGGGCCAGTGGCTTCACCTCTCTGAGCCTCAGCCTCTTCCTCAGGAGAACCGGGCTGATAGTAGTCACCTCCTAAGAGCCATGGTGAGGATCCAAGCCCTTGGGGAAAGAGGGCAGTGGCCCCCGTGCACGGTAGGTGCCTGATGCGAAGCTTTGTGATTGTAATGGAAGTGTTTGCAAGCTTGTGATGGCTGAGGCATGCGTCTCAAGGACATTCTTGAATACACATTGCTCCACTGTAGGGCTGTAGGATGCAGGTCCTAGCAAAATGACCCGAATAAGGAAACAGGCCACCCCACATGAAGTTCCCCTTTAAGAAAACCCGGGTGGGGGTGGGAAGAAAGGGCGCCTGGGTAGCTCAGTCGGTTAGGCATCCGACTTCAGCTCAGGTCATGATCTCACGGTGCGTGAGTTCGAGCCCCGCGTCGGGCTCCGTGCCGACAGCTCAGAGCCTGGAGCCTGCTTCGGATTCTGTGTCTCCTGCTCCCTCTGCCCCTCCCCGGCTCATGCTCTGGGTGTCTGTCTCTATCTCAAAATAAATAAATAAACATTGGGGGAAAAAAAAATTTTTTTTTAATGTTTTTATTTATTTTTGAGACAGAGACAGAGTATGAGCAGGGGAGGGGCAGAGAGACAGGGAGACACAGAATCCGAAGCAGGCTCCAGGCTCTGAGCGGTCAGCACAGAGCCCGACATGGGGCTCGAACTCACGGACTGTGAGATCATGACCTGAGCTGAAGTCGGACACTCAACCGACTGAGCCACCCAGGCGCCCCAAAATTTTTTTGAAAGAAAGAAAGACAACCCGGGAAAACCTAGCCAGCTGACCCCTTAAGTGACCCCGCTTTTCCCTTCCCACACCCCAATGCCTTAAATTCACCAATAGAGAATGACCCCATGAATTCCAAGGCACCCCCCCCACTCAGCCCCTAATAAAGGCAGAGCCCCCCTGGTGCGTGTGTCTTCCCTCCGTCTCTACCTGGGACCTCACCGTGTGGCCCCAGGCAGGCCACGTACCCCCCAGGACCTATGGGTAATCGATCTTGGTCTTCAGAGCTCACTGGTGGTTGTTGATGAGGTGGGTCCTATGATCCTAAGACCCACAGGGGCCGGTGGAGCCACAAGAAGTTTGGCCCCGGCGGTGGGGGGGGGGCGGATGTCTGTGGGGCTCCCCACGGTTAACATGGGCCCAGGCCAGTGCTCAGGCATTCCTAGGCAACAGCATCATCACCGTGGACAGCTGAGACCCCAACAGCACCCGGCTCCCCTGGGCTATCTGCTTCTGTGCCCCTCCGGACCCCATTTGGCTCCCGCCCCCCTTCCCGTCAGTCCTGCACTTCCCAGCCCCTCTCTGCCTGACTCCTCTCCCTCTTGTTTCCCTCCATCTGTCCTCAGCACATCCCTCTGGTGGGGAGGAAGGCCCTTGTGGTCCTAAGGGACAAGATGGCCCTTGTGGTCCTAGGGACAGGGAGACCCTGACCCTATATCCCTTCCCATCCCACCCCCAGAACTTTGAAAGCCAGACGTGCCCCTTCTGCCGCGGCGAGATCAAGGGCCAGGAGGCCGTGAGTATCCATCAATTTCAAGGGAAGCCAGAGGAAGCCACGGCCGCTGCCGAGTACCTGAGGTCCAGCAGTGACCAGGAAGATGGGGAGGAGGAGCTGGGGCAGGTAAGCAGGGCCAGGCAGGAGCTGGAGCTGGAACCTCTGGGTCTGAGGGAGGAAGGGCCAGCGACCTGGATCCTGGGTCTGAGGGAGGAGGGGGCTAGTGACAGGAGTCGGGTCCTAGGGGCCTGGACTTTTGCTTTCCCAAGGGTCTGGGGCTCTGGCTTTCTCCAGATGAAACTCCCCTGAGCGTTAGGCCCTTGCCTTATTCTCTGTTGTATCTCCAAAGCCTGGAAGAGTGCCCGAATGCTGGGACTCTAAGCAGAAGGACACGTAGGTAGGAAGAAACCGACAACTTAGAGTCCCCTCCCCACCCTCCATCACTCTCAGGTGGTTTCCTCAGCTCCCCCTCAGCTGAATGTGTCCCCAGCTACAGGCCGGCTGAAAATGGTGAGTCAGGTGCTGGTCTGGTTCAGCTCCGGGGTCCCTCAGGGGCACCAGGTCCTGCGCTCCCCCTCGGCACCCACTGACCAGGTGCTGGGCGATCTGGCACCCACCACCTCTGTGCCCTCTTGTTCACTTCCTTACGCCGCCCCTCGCCAGCTTTCTGGCTCTCCTTCCAGCATCCCAGGCATGTCTCATCCCAGGGCCTTTGCACCAGCTGTCCCCTCTGCCCGGGCCTCCTGTCCCCCAGGCTTGCTCTCTCTCATCTCCTCCCCAGGGCGGCCTTCCCCGATCACCCCCATTTTATTGAAAAAAAGCACCCCCACCCCCTGCTCATTTTCATAGCTCTTGCCACCACCTGGCAGAAGGCGTATAATTTTCTGTCACCGTCAGCCGGTGGCCACCCTCCCGAAGGTTAGGACTTCGTCTTCTCCATTGGATCTGCAGAGGCTAGAACAGTGCCTGGCACATAGTAGGTGCTCAGTAAATGGGCTTTCAAGGAATCCAAGGAACAGAGCCTTCCCAACAGCCCTGTGAAGTAAACAAAAAATAAAAGAAATGCTCCCCTCGTCATTTTCCAGAGGAGAAAAAGCTCAGAGAGGTGACTGTACCTGTCAAAATTTCACAGGCTGATCCAAGAGAACCTGGTGTTGGGGGCGGGGGCTGGGGGAGGGGGCGTGGTACTTAGAAAACCCTACCATTATCTGCTGATCTTGGAAGCAAGCCCCAGCCTTCTTGCTCCTCCCCACCCCCTACTTCCTACCCCAGGATTTTCCGAGACCCTGGCCTGCTGGGGAGGGGCCCATCTGTGTTAGGCTGAGTACACATAAGATTCAATCAATACAGAGGCGTCTTCAAACAAACAGCTCAGGAAGTCCGGGAACATTATTTCCACCCGCAGCAAACAAGTGAGCCAGCAGGAAGGGGGGTGGCGGTGACACCAGCCAGGGAAGCTAAAAACAGATCCAGACCTGCAGCCCAAGGCAAATGGAAACATTAGGAGGCACTCAGCGGGCTCCCAGAGGACAATGAGGGG